TCTGCTACCTAAAAACGTTGCATTGCCTATAAACGTAAATGTTTTCTTTCGTTATATTACTGAATACAAATGTAGGAGACAGATAAGAGTTGAAGCATGTTGACACTGCTAGGTCCAGATTTTCATAACAAAGGTGGTTTCATAGGAGATTCAGAAGTTCAGTGTATCAGAATGAAATGCATTACTGATTAATTGAACAAATTCAAATCTTTTTGGGTCGACACACTTCGATGAAGTACTGATTGAATGATTAGAAGAAGATAATAGGACTACATCTGAGCTATTGTGGGGGATTTTGAGGCATGTAACTAGAAGTCCCAAAGACTGATTCTTAACATTCTAACACGTATAACTATCCAACATGCACATCAAGTAATAACAAATATTGATTTTTAGATCGGTTCGTTTTTCCTTCTGAATAACGTTAACTCCTTTCAAACCTAATCTTGTTTCACTTAAAATCACTGGCTGAAAAAGGTAATGAATTTATGTGTGGAATATGTCTTCTACTTCAAAATGGAGCAGCTTCACTCCATACTGTGTAAATCAAAAGGTGACAGTACTAGATGGTCAAACAAACGTCAACTGTAAAATAGATTGCATGAACCAAATAGGCCAGAGAGGCCATCCTACTCATCTTCACATACATGAATACAAGCTAGTAATCCGAAGATGTGACAAACACTCGTTCATATCAAAACACGCAGACGACTACCGACACAAAATCGACTGGGGTGATGCAAATATATTAGAGAAAGGAGACATTAAGTATTCCAGAGAATCCCTCGGGTTCCTATAGACAAATCAGTTTCCAGTTAGTCGACATGTTGATATGGATGCAATCTACCAAGCAATGAATAATAGGTGACAGGAGAGAAGGGTCAAAAATAGGGATGACAAGAAGACCAGTTTCCATGCAGGCGAGTACAATCATAGGGAAATCTACGACAGCAGCCAGTTGCAGTAGTCACCAGGAGAGACAAATACTTCATTCATGAGGAATTTCATAAACTCACTTCACTTGGACTTAGCTCTGTAGATATTGTCTGAAAGGGTAATGAAAGTTTCGCAGTTAAACCATCAAACCTAGATACCTTCTGATTTGATAAGGTAACCATTCATGCTAGAACTATGGGATAAGTAATTCATGAGAATGGTTTTAGCAGATTTTTAGTGGATAACATTTTCAAGTCCGGAAACAACTGACGCTAAATTTATTAGTTATCATGCACTGGTTCTAAACAAGTGCGTTCCGCAGTTAATTTCCTCACCATTCTAGATTGATTTGTGCACAGATCAATGATGAAGCCACCTTAATGTTCAGTGAAATTTATTTAGGCATAGTCACTCAAATCTTACATATGCAATTTCAAACCCGGAACTACATTCACGATATTTCTGCAGTTACTAAAAGGATTTGGAGGAACATGATTCGTACAAATATGCGTTGAAAAACAATTCGTTATCACACTAAATCTTCTTTGGTTAGCTTTGTTTTGAAACCATAGCAGATGTGCTATTACCTCTGTTATTTGGTTTAGTGATCTTCATTGTTATTTTGACCTTGAATATGTCCTTTTAACTTGACGTCACCTATTAATTCTTTATTAATTTCATATATATTCCTATGGCAAGTCTGTGTGTGGTGAATCAGATTATTCAAAATGTGTTGCGCAAATACATTTCATAAGTCAGATAAATTACGTCTTATTATTGTTTTGTCTTTATTTATGATCAGTTATTAACTGGTTTCATTATAGTGAGATTCAGCCATCGTTAACATCAGCTAACCATATCGCCTTCTCACCAAAATTAAATACAGTGTAGAAATTCCTCATAAATGCATAGCCAAGAACCCAAACTCCAGGGGGAACTAGATCGTTACTAGCGAATGGTGATGTACACTTTGTGTTTAACCAGTTGACTTCCTGAAAGCGAAAATGAAACGAATTTTACAAATCTCATTGATTCACAATCTCGAAAATGAAAATTAGACCAACCATGGGAAATGAGGAAATTCACCAACTTTCCGGCTAAAATTGTCTGTTTAGAAGCTGAAACCAATATTTTGCATAGAATTGATGATTATTTCTGTGTAGAATGAATGATAATCGTGGAGCTGGATGATGTAAGAGAGAAAGAAATGAAACTAAGGAACAGTATTCCGCAAAACTGAAGAAGAGACAGGGAGATAAGTTCAGTGAAATTCTCTGAAGTCTTCTGTTGACAGCATTTCGAGAACTTTCTTTGCCATTTATTTCACCTCACCTGCACTTGCTCACCGGCAAAGACAAGTTGTAGGTTTTGGTGACTTCAATGTTAATTCACCAGCTTAATGTCTCCTATTGAGTCAACTACGTGGACTGTACTAACAGGACATTGTGTAAGTAGACTGATGAACACTTACCAGCATGGTAGTCCAAGGAATAAGTTAGTACAGGGCAGACAACGACTCAATTCTGGAGGACGATTTTACTTTGTGGCACGTTGCATCAGAACAGAGTTACTTCAAAGTCATATGTGAAATAGGACCAGGCAGTTCGACCGGATTTCGCCTACATTTCATGTAACCAAGGCTTCTGGAATCCACTAGGAAAAACCGGGACTTTGTATTCAAACACGTTTTTATCCAGCCTCCTTTACTAAAGTGTCTTTAGTGACAATTTTGTTGTGTAAAGAACTTTATGCAGTATTTGCACATTTTTTAGTATATTTTGTAACTCACTATCAATGCACCGATCTCTGGCTCTTATATGTCATTTCCAAGTAACTACTAATCATTACATAAGTAGTTGGCAATCAACCCTCTCGATTATTCATAATTTTTCGCACATTCTTTATTCTTATTCTGATTACAGCTTGATTCCACACCGTATTTTCAGTACAAGTGTGGAATTTTCAGCATGGATGGACATTCGATGGATCTCACCTTTGTTGTCAGATAGCACTGTATATATAAACCCCAAATAACTGTTCAAACTCGAAGTCAGGTTACGAAAAGAGATCTCTTTCCTAACTTAGGCCATTTCAAAAATGATGAAATTCACCTGTATTTTAAAATGTGTTGCCATTTCTTAAATGCAAACCAGTAGCATTGATGAGGAAATTCCCATCGAGGTGCCGATCACAAGAAAATCACAATGTTCAACCGAATTCTCTTACTTACCTTAAGCACATAGTTCTTCGCCTCAAGTACATAGCTCCTCTTCTTGAAGACAAACTCAATAGGAGGGAGCAGGTTAATATCATTACAGTTTAATCCATACTCATCATCCCCAACCAGCTTGGCCCCAAGTCTAGAATTAATCGTTTCCACCGTTTCATTCGATCCCAGTATCAAAGATGTGCCAGTAGATATAATAGCAACGCACGTTTCTTTGCAATAATCTACTCCATTTATCTTCATGCTAAACATGGTAAAACAAACACAACTGAAACATTAAACAGTCTATGCAGTGAAGAGTGTATTGATATAAATTAATCCAATCACAAAATCACTCATCCTAATAATCAGACACAATGGGCATACTTAGTTCTCCTCAGTCATCTCCACACGAATACACAAATCCCTGTCTGTTGATTAACTTTCAACTCTCATCAGAATTTCTTGCACCTTCAGCCAGTAACAACATTCACTAAATCATTCTAATGACTTTGTTCACTGGAATACTCGTAAACACATACAAACCATGCTGAAATTACGCACAGCATGAAAGTTTCCACTTGAGATTGCGTAAGACAACTTGACTACACACTATCAGCATTTCAAATGGCATTCGTTTCCAGATAAACCACTCAGGTTGTCAACAGATTAAAATCAAACAGATGACACTTTCTTCGATAACTCAGTGAAAGTTGGCCAGTAAGTGGTCACGCCAGCATCTGTGTGTTTATTGCACGTAAAAATTGATAGTCAGCATATGTGATGTTGCTTGATAGAAGGGGAATCGGTTTTCATGTGTTGAGGTGATGGTGATCAAATGACTGATTTATTTGTACTAGAAGAGAGTATTTTAGGTTCAAACCAACTGTAATAAATTAGAGATGCAGAATAACTATCCACTAATTTGTCATCTGGAATTATCAAGGCATATCTCATCCAATAGACTTTATTTGAGTGTATGACGTTTATTACTGGAAAAAGTGGGAATTGTTGCGTGTATTAAATATACCTTGGTTAGAAGACATAACTGTGACAACCACTCCAGATTTTCTGTGACCTTAGTGTTCACGTGAAAAATTGATATCCTTTCGACAACGCAATAAGAAGACGTAGTTTATCTGAAACGAGTAATGTATTGGCGCAACACATTTCCGACATTCTGATCACACACGTACTTGTCATACACGGTGTTTATAGAAGGCAAGAAGGCACGAATAATTACAGTACAGGTCAGATTGTGTACAGGTCAAGGTTACAAATAGTGGGTAGTGAGACGCAAAGATGTGGGTAAGAAAGGGAAAAAGAGAAAAAATCAAGCAAAGAAGGGATTGAAAATATTATGAAGTAAATTGGTCCTTGGTTCTTTTTATGGCTGGTTGGGCCCCGCACTTAAATTCGTTGGAGCCTTAGCCATAAAAAGTTTTAAACCTGTGTTATGTGTCCAAAAGTTATTTGTTATGACCTTAAACCTGCCTTGGAAATCCAATTTAGAACCAAGGATCAATTTACTTCATAACATTTTCAATCCCTTCTTTGCTTTGTTTCTTCTCTTTTTCTCTATCCCACCCACATCTTTGCGTCTCCCTACCCACTATTTGTAACCTTGACCTGTACACAATCTGACCTGTACTGTAATTATTCGTGCCTTCTTGCCTTCTATAAACACCGTGTATGACAAGTACGTGTGTGATCAGAATGTCGGAAATGTGTTGCGCCAATACATTACACGTTTCAGATAAACTACGTCTTCTTATTGTGTTGTCGAAACTCATAAAAGGAACTAATTACTTTAAATAATATCTTTGCCCATGAAATCATGCAAGCATCAATTGACTACCTTTTGAGTGTAACAGTCCAACTGTCTTTATAAATGACAGGCAAGTTTTCGAAATCTCCAATAAAATATTCAGGATTGACACCACCAATCACCATCTCTCCACCAGCAAGACCGTTTTTCCTACAAAATATCAGACACGAATTTGAGGAATTACTAAAACGGCTAGCAGCGTGTTCAACTTAGTGTTTCTGCAAATAGGTGAATAGCAATCAGAATAAACTTTATTTATGAATTTGAAACCCGACCGATAGCTGCTACCTTGACGTGGTGGTCGGGCTTGCATATCGTAATGACCCAGCGAGCTCCGCTGGCTGGAACTTATGTTCCTGAAGGTCCTACCATGCCAGAAAAGTTGTTTGGATAGCGGTTAGACAAAAAGCAACTACCCAGTCCAATGCTATGATTCAAACAAACTCACAAAATATCATGCCGGATCGGTCGGATTAACAACGACCGCGCTTCCTGCTTCTGTGTCACAGGGCAGAAGTGATAAATATGCTACTTAGATACACCATACAAGAAAGAACAACCAAAAACAGGCCACGTGTGACCGGCCTCAAGCAGTTTCCTCTGGGCTCTGCGGTAACGCAACTCCAACCTTTCCTCTCTCCCCTTCTCAGGCGTGAGGCTAGCAACCCCACCCTGTAAACAAAGCTGCTACAGAAACTTCAGGACGACGAATCTGCTTGCGCCAAAAGAAAAAGTCTGTGTGAGGACATGGAATGATAGAGAAGCTCTCGGAGAATTGAATGAAAACGGAGAACTCTTCGCCTTCTGCGCCTTCAATGGACTAGTGATTGGTGGCAGCGTATACAAACACAAGCATATCCACAAGGCTACATGGGTGTCACCAGATGGGCGCACCAAAAACCAAATTGACTTCATCTCAATCTCAACGAAGCGGAAGCACAGCCTACTGGACACGAAAGTAAGAAGAGGAGCAGACGTTGGCTCAGACCACCACCTCGTACAAGGGACAATCCAAATCAAATTAAAAGCTTTCAGAGAAACAGGAGCTGCAGATAGACCACAAGCCAAGTTCAACACTCAAAAACTGAAGGACCAGGACACAAAAGACATCTTCACTGCAAGTATAAAAGACAAAGCCGAGACACAAATCAACACCGGCGAAGAGGTCAGCGTCGAAAAGCACTGAACAACTTGAAGACAGTGTGGAGTCAAACATGCATGGAAGTTCTAGGCAGAAATAAGAGACAGGACAAACAGTGGCTCACTACGGACACTCGGAGACTGATAGAGGAGAGAGGGATGGTGAAACAAAAGATTCTCCAGTGCACCGACGAGAAACAAAACAGGATTTGAATGCAAGCTACAAGACACTGAACAAAAGAGTAAAGAAGAGTGCCAGAGAAGACAAAAGAAAGTATTATGAAGCCATGGCAAGTGAAGCAGAGCAAGCTGCAGGCAAAGGAGATCTCGCAACACTCTACAAAACTACTAGGTACCTATCGGGCAAACGTTTGACACAAATAAAGCTGGTGAAGGATGACAATGGAAATTCACTCAACAAAGAAGTGGAGCAAAGGAAACACTGGGCTGAACACCTCAAAAGACTCCTAAATCGACCACCACCTACAACGCGCCCAACAATACCAACGACGGAGACAGAGCTACCAGTGAACACCAACCCCCCGACGAAATCACAAGTCCTGAAGGCAATCAGTATGGTAAAAGCTGGAAAAGCAGCAGGACCAGATGGAATCCCATCAGAAGCATTGAAAATGGATCCAGAGACAACAGCGGACTTGATGACGCCACTACTGGAGAAGGTGTGGAAAGAAGGCAAAGTACCAGAGGATTGGAATAAAGGATATTCATTCAAACTACCAAAGAAAGGAGACCTAAGTCAATGCAAGAACTGGCGCGGAATTATGCTCCTGTCCATCCCAAGCAAAATACTAAGTCGCATCATCCTGGAGAGAATCAAACATGCCAACCTGGATGAAAATCTTCGACCGGAACAGGCTGGATTCAGGAGAAACAAGTCATGCATTGATCAGATCGCCACATTACGGATAATCATTGAACAAAGCTTGGAATGGCAGTCACCTCTCTATCTCAACTTCATCGACTTTGAAAAGTCTTTCGACAGCGTCGATCGAGGGGTGCTTCGGAAACTACTTTGCTACTATGAGGTGCCACCGACAATTATACATCTCATCCAACAGCTGTACGACAATGCTTTAGCCAAGTAATCCACAATGGGAAACTCACGGAATCCTTCGAAGTGAAGACGGGAGTAAGACAAGCTGGCTGCCTACTATCGTCAATGATTTTCCTGAATGCAGTAGATTGGATGATGCGACAAACGGCGGGCAATGAGGAAACAGGCATAAAATGGACCCACACAAAAAACTTGGAGGATCTGGACTTCGCCGATGATATATGTCTGATTTCCCACAAACTGGAAGATATGCAAGTGAAAAGTAACAAGTTGGCAGAAGAAGCATCAAAGATAGGACTTCAGGCGAACATAGAGAAAACAGAGGTGAAGAAGATTCCTGGACAAGAACAACAACAACAGACAAAGATCAGCATAAATGATAGGAACCTGAAAGGAACAACCTATTTTACCTACCTGGGAGTTATCGTTTCAACTACAGGCGGAACTGACGGGGATATCAAAGCAAGATAAGCTTTCACTACTCTGAAGTCTGTGTGGAGGTCAACAGCACTCAGCATCAAAAATAAGATCCGGATTTTCAACTCCAATGTGAAGTCAGTGCTATTATACGGAACAGAGACTTGGTGCGTCATAGTGAGCATCTCAAAACAATATACAGACCTTCATTAACAGTTGTCTTCGCTCAATACTCAAGATCAAATGGCCAGAAATGATCAGCAACAGAGATCTCTGGCAGTGAGCGAACAAACCAGGAACCAATTGTGCAACAAATAAGCAGGAAGAAATGGAGGTGGATTTGCTGGTCATACTCTGAGGAAACAATGCATCAAGTGACATCACTAGACAAGCCATTGCTCGAGTGGAAACCGAAAGGGAAGCGGCGAGTTGGTCGTCAGTTTGAGGGTGGGTGACTTGGAGGAGGTCATGTGAAGAGGAGATGAAAACGTGTGGGCAGACTTGGAGCCAAGTGAAGACTCTAGCAGAGAATCGAACGCAATGGAGACACACAGCTGAAGTCCTATGTTCCTCTAGGAATTAAAGGAAACAATAATAATAATAACAATAATAATGAATTTGAATTAAGTCACAGAATATAATTATTGTCTACAACACTTCATATTCCAAGGGTACTGAAGCTGTAAATGAAAGTTCAGCTGAAGACTCTCTCTGTCATAACCATCTAAAGGATAATGTAAACGAATTACTAGCCAAGTACTTTAGTTGATGTGTACCTTCGGTCACACATTTCATTTCCTTAAATTCAGTCCAAAATTTGTAGGCAGAAAGTGTTTTTTAATGATGAAATCTTATGATTGTCTCAAATCATTTCCTTTCTGATGTATTCCACTTAAATATTATGGGGGAGATTTATGTTAAGCATATATTTAAGGCCACTTAAACTTAATTACGTTTCAGTGAATCTGTATGCCAAATAAGTACATATTGAGTCAGAAATCATTGGAAAACGTAATAGTAAACCACTGGAATACCAGTCATATACAGCAATAGTATTATTGTTGCGTTACAAACAAGAACTCACCGGCTCAGATAGAAAGAAATTACTGGATCTATATCCTTGTATTGAGAAAGTAGATTCGGGAAGAATGGAGTGTTCCCATATACTGACACATTTCTCATTTGCATACCAATGTATCCATCATACTTGTCACCAAAGAGGACTAAGGAAAACACATCTGTTACTTCAGCAAACGCCTGATTACGAATAACTAAGGAGTTTAGCTAAAACCGTTGTCGCTTCAAGTTATAAAAGCACAATACCTGCATTGTATCCATACTCCAAAATCCAGAGTAACTGCCAATCAGGTAATTTATATGAAATTCAGTACCATTTGGCTTGTAGGTGGATGATTTCGAACTGTCGTAAAATCGAATGAACCAACACGGAATGTCAAGAAACCAACATTTTCTTGATGGGAACCAGCTGTCTGTTGATCCTGTGTCGAACATTACACGAAACGTTTGTGGTGGCGTTCCCACTTGTATTTCTCCATAGTATTCAAACTTAAAAAGATATAATAAACATAAGATTCTGAAAACCTCAATGTTTCTGATATCGTGATGAAGTGGTGTACATCAAAAGATAATATCACACAATTTTATAAGGCTTTGACAAACTCCTTCTGCATTTGGTAGATATGTTCTTCTCTGAAATGATATTTATTTAAAAACCACTTAAATTTCGATTTAACTAGAAATACCACTCGGAACACTTGATGTGTGCTAGCGGCCTAGTGAAGTGTGATAAGTGTTCATAATTTAAACACTGTGGGAGAGTCGAAGTCTATCATAGAATACTTTTATTTTGCTATCCAAGGGAGATAGTACTATTTATTTACTTATGACGCATAGAACCCAATAGTTTTCTTCAACTATTAATACTCTTACTTCACTTTGTTTCTTTAACCATCTCGTTCACACCTGAACTCGCCAAATCCATTTAGCATATTACTGAGTTATTTTATAGTCCTGTGTTATTTTGTTTCTAAGCCTCTTGTGATCTGTATTCACACCTTCTAACTTCCTTATAAAGTTTAAAATTATTGTGTCCTTTACGCTCTTTGGCTGAATTGAATGATAGTTGTAGCCATGTGAACTTCTGTACAAAACGTGTTGTACAGCTTATGTAGATTAAATCTCCAAATGGATATCTTTGTAAGGCTTCTTGTTCATTTCTCAATAAATTTATAACTGAAGATCAACTTACATTATGAAAGTTATACAGTTGTTGTGATTTTGGTGTTTCTCCTCCACTCCATAATTTCATCCAGCTTCGCTGTATTTCCCTCAAGAACTGCCAATACGGATTTAGAATTGACTTAATTCCATTCACGGGATGCAAAGGAATCTTGATTATCTCAGAATTCACATGATACAGACAGATGAGAAGTATGATCAGATTCATTGCAATGAATAGTCAAAGGAGAAGCGTAAATGCTGGCAGTGTCTTTCTGTT